ACAGAGGTCCTATCAGCTGCACAGAGAACCAAGATCTAACACAGAGGTCCTATCAGCTGCACAGAGAACCAAGATCTAACACAGAGGTCCTATCAGCTGCACAGAGAACCAAGAGTCACTGTCCCCTCTGGTCAGGTAACAGTGGCTGTTGCCAGAGGGTCTCACTTTGTAGCCCAGGCTGCCCAGGTGTGTGCCAGCACATCCAGCCTTTGCGATGGGTGGGGGTGGTTGACAGGTTTGATTTTTAGTGAGATACACTCCAGTAAATCCTTGTCATTGCTTAATTACATTAAATGGGGAAAAACTTCTTGCATTAGGGACTAAAGCAATGAGATATTTGCATCCAGGGTTTTCATATTTTTGCATTAAGGATTAAAGCAATGAGATATTTGCATCTGGGGTTTTCATTTAGTCCACCTCTGGACAAGGCTGCGTGTTATCATGGAAATGATCTTTGGTGACAAAGTAATGTCCCTGAAGACGAAGGCGAGAGGGGTGACAGATTAAGAGAAGACTACACACTTGTGCAGATAGCAAAGGTCCAAAGCAAACAGGCTCTGTGCACCAGAAATACCAGTTCTATAATCCCTGAGACAGACAAGAGTCATGCTCCACTGGGTCACACAAGGAAGACTTCACAGGGCAGCTAATTTGCGACCTGAACCCTGAAAAATGGTAGGCTTTAACTAGATAGACATGGTGGCATTGAGACTGATAGAGGTGACCACGGGGAGGGGATGGCAGAAACAAGTGTGTCCGGGAACTAGAAAGTCAGGGGTCTAAGCTGGTATCAAATTGGGCTAAATACGTGGGTGAAGTCAAAAGTGATTCTGAAACTAAATTCTTCTCAATCCAGTTTAGCAAACGTAGCTATATGTAACTCAATGGGCAGTGGAGAGTCATGGCAGATATGTACAGAGAAATATCTGGCATTCAGGGCCAGTAATGGGGGAGAAGGAAGAGAAGCTAGAGGAGTTTAAAAGAATTTGAATAGCCATGCTAGCCTCTTATCCTGGACACAGTGAAGGCCTGAGCTGTATCCATGTATGTACAAGAGACAGTGTAGACGTTTAGGTTATACAAACCTATACTTCACAGAGTGTGAAGGGATGGACGAACTGAGAATGACTGTGGAAAGTCAAGCCTGCGGGGATGGAAGTATACAAAGAGAAAACAGTGTATCTGTCAAGAAAGTTGATCATGGTCCAAGGATATTTGGAATGGAGGCACTAAGGGCAAAAGTAAGTGGATACCTGGGCTAGCAACACAAATATGGGACTGGAGATCTGACTGAGACCTGAGGTCTCTAGGAAGAGAAGACAAAAATGAATGATCAAGATGAGCATTTATAAATGTCAGCATGCCCACCATGCACAGATACTTACAGAGAGACAATGGGAGGTATTTTTCTTCTTAATTATATACAACAAGCAGCATGGGGATTGGTTCATAGTTAGGGATTACAGGGGCAGTGGTTAGCTTTTAGATCGCAAACACGAGGGGGAACACAAGTTTGAGAGCTTTGGGACCTCACCCCTTGTCAGTTTTCTGGAGCGAAGGAGCCACCCTGATGATGTCATCGAGATCCTCAGTCCTTCAAAGAACCGAAAGAGCAGCAGGTCAGCAGGGAAGGAGCTAGACTGTTGGAACTACACTCCCTAGACTGTCTGCGGAAGGGAAGGGTAGGCCACAGTCAGGAGTGCCGAGCTCCATCTTCTCCACTCACGGCGCACACAGACACTGACTCCCCTGAGTCAGGGGACCATTAAACCCCCACAGAAGATGCGCCGGCATCACACGACATACACAGTGCAATGTGGGAGGTGATGAGAGTTTCACAAAAACTTCTCAGGGCAGGGAGGTCAGATTCTTCCCGAGTCTAAGGTATCTGTGTCGTCTGTACTTCAAACTGGGGCTCTTCTGAGAGCCAAAGGGATAATGCAAAAGACGTTTTACTTTGGAAAGTATCTTAGCCATTTTTTTTGCGTTATTATACTGATGGAACTATGAAGCTATAAAATAGCAAGGTTATTATCTTCCAGTTTGTTTTTTTTTTTAGCTGAAAAAATTTCTTGGCTGGAGAGATGGCTCATCTGTTAAAGACAAGGCTCACCAACCCCCAAAGTTCCTTTTTTGAGATTATAATGTAATGACATTATTTCCCCCTCCCTTTTCTCCCTCCAAACTATTCCATATACCCCTTGGTTATTTTTCAGATTCAAAGGCTCTTTTTTTCACTAATGGTATGTAAGTACAAACTACTCAGCCTGTGTATGAATTTGTGTGCAACACAATTCTAAAGCTGACTGACTGTTCGGTATTGTGTGTACTTCCCTAAGGAAGACCATCTCTCCCATATTCAGCCTTCCATATGCAGCCTGATTGTCCTAAAACTCACTGTCTTTACCATAATGGTCTCAAACTTCAAGAATCCTCTTGCTCCTGCCTCATGTGCCACCGTGCCTGGCTTACAAAAGAAGAAGGAGGAGGAGAAGGAGGAGGAGGAGGAGAAGGAGGAGGAGGAGGAGGAGGAGGAGGAGGAAGAAGAAGAAGAAGAAGAAGAAGAAGAAGAAGAAGAAGAAGAAGAAGAAGAAGGATTTTCCAAAGTTATCAAAGCTATTATTTTTCCTAAATAATAAAGAAGAAGAAATACAAACAAAACATATCCAGAATGAATGCTAACCTAGGATGTGTAAAACAGGTGTAAATCTGGACTGTGGTGGGGAAATGCTTCCTTACCAAATTAATCCACATGAAGGGTGAGCCTGTCCCAATGCTGCAGGACAGGCTGAGAACAACTGCTACAGCCAAGACCAAGGGAAAGCTTTGGCAGTACAAGTTAAACTGAGCAAAACTATTTCCCATTGTTCATTCACACCTACCCCGCAACAGAGTCCTATATCTTGAAGCAAGTCAGGAACTACGAGACGAGCAAGCCCCCTTCCCTCAAGCACTTTCATCCCATCCTGTCCTTATGCTCAGACAATTCGGAATTTGCAATGTAAATCTTCAGACAAATTTAAGAACAAGAACCTATAAAAGCATGTGTTACCTAGCCAGGCATGGTGCCACACTTTAAAACCAGCACAGTAGATGCAGGAGCAGATGGACCTCTGTAAAATTGAGGCTGACCTTATGTTCATAGCAAAGTCCAGGGCAGCAAAGGCTATGTAGTACAACCCTTCTCAAAAAGAGTTTACTCATTATAGCTAAAGCTGACAAGAAAACTGATTTTGTTTAACTTATTTTTTTTTAAGTACTCCAACAAAGCATGCTTTACCACTGGTACAATTACACACATAGAGACAGCAGAGAGTTTTATACCTGATATTTCTTTCAAGATGTTTATTGACTTCTCCATATGCACCTGATGTAGCTGCATGTATCTGCCTGGATTTTTAAAAATAATGCCTGTTAGGTAAGAAAACTCTTCCATGTTAAATTATACGCATAAGAATACATCTCTGTTCAGAAATATAAATATTATATGATTAACAAAAATTTTTACCTTAGTTCTTTGTATTGGCTAGAATTCAATCATCCCCTTTTGGAAAGCCTAAAAAGTACAAGGTGCTAACTTTACAACATCAATGTCTCTTCATCTGCCTTAGAGCACTAGGTACCTTCACTCGTGTCCATTCATCAAAGTGTTTTGTCTTTATCTCCACTAGATAATTATATAACATCTTAAATATTAAGAATCCCTTTTGTTGTTAGACACTCAAATCATACTTTTCCTTAAAGACTTATCCCATGTAACTACTACCAAGAAATGTATTTGCTCAAGAAAGAAATAAGTCTATATTTCAAAAATGTCTACCCCACCAAGAAGGTCCACCCTGAACCGACAGCAGTAGATTGTACAATGCTAGGTTGTCAGAATTTATAAGACTTCTTTCTTTTCCTTAGACTGTGGCTGACCTACTTACACATTCTTGCTTATTCTTGAGAAGCTATATTCAACTATTTTTTTGCTCTCCTGAGGACCTGTGTTAATTACTTCCCTTTCATATTCGTTCGTTAAAGTCACCATGCTGTGATTAAAGCAATAAGGGTTTTTTAAACATGCATGTTGTCCTAATTTTATTTTTGGGGGGATCATTACTGGAAGAAATGAACGTAGTAAAATGGATTTGACCAAGTCCTATGGAATTAAGCCTTTTCCGAATATAAACATGTGCAGCCCTCTAGTGTCAATGGTTTAAGATTAGAATTTAGGTGGTTCAGGGACAGCTTATTTCAGTTCCTCGAAAAAATCTATTCTAATTATGACTTAATTGCTTAATACTATAAGACTAAGAGTACCAATCATGTAAGACAGGAAGCTTGAGACATTGCTCTTATGAGATAATTATAATCATTGCAGAAATGAAAAGTTATAAAACTAATCCATATTATTAATTAGTTCAGTGAAAAACTACTCTCTTGACTCATTAAAGCAATAACCTAAGGAGGAAATTTCTCCGCCCTCCGGAGGGATTTTATGGGTAGAAGTTCAGCTCTGGAGTGGTACCCCCTACGGGTCAGCACATGGTACCACACACCCCTATTCTTTGGTCAACACTTTCTAGCAGGTCATGCTTTTATTTAAAAAATGCCTCTATAAATGTGACTAATGAAGAATGGTTCTATAACTGTGTCTTACATGGCATCAAAACTCCCCCTCAAGAAGCCAAAATTACAAGAGAAATAAAAACAGGCATTCAGGGAGGTCTCCAACACGCTCAATCCCCACTGAGACGCTGAGATCTAACCTGACAGTACTAATGAAAGGAAGGAACATTCCTCTTGAAAAATGGTTCAAGATTATAAACCATGTGGCAGGGACACATGGGAAGACTGTCAAGCCTATGAATTTGCTTCTAAATATTAATTATAGAGTGACAAGCATTCAAAGTAGAAAAGAAAGTGTGGTTTTCCTGACTTGGAGATAAATTATTTGGAATATTCTTTAATACTTATGAGAGTTCTGAAATAAATCAAAACTGCTTTTGTTTAAAGAAATCATGCAACAGACTAAAGGTATCTCAAGCATAATTGAGGACTTGGGTAGTAACCCAAACCTGTAAGAATTTCCCACATCACAATATATAGCTCTTAATGAGAATCTTAATTGCAGGAAAATAGAAATGAAATAGATTCACATATGACATTTAATGTGGTTTACATTTAATAGGCATGAGATATATGCCCAATATATATATTCACTTTTATCAAGTACTAATATGTAAGAAACTTTCATCCAAACACTTCATGTCTACTGGTCCATGGCTATTTCAAGGAAATAGTTCCCTAAAACAGGCAATAGCCTGCACTATTCTAAAGCAAAAGTAATTACACATGTGGACTGATAGAAGTTCTGTGAGTCTTGCATTAGTGAATGCCCACAGAGAGCATGACCATGATTTACACAAAGCCATTCACAATTCCTTAACTATCATTTCCCGTCAACATCCTGGCAAGACGCTCAGAAGGGTGGTTCTTACCTATTATTCTGTCTCAGTTGTTTAGGAGATGCAATGGGAGAGCGGGGTTTTGGAGGTATTGGAGGGTGAACGGCTGGATCCCTTTGAAACAGAAAACAGCAGTCCATTACACCATGGAAATATTATCCATTTTTATCTATCAACTCACAACATCTGCCATGTGCAGGGAAATGTCTCTTAAACTCATGACCCCATGTATGGAGAAACCGAAAGGTCAGAATTCACAGAGTGCATAATCTAAAGTCAATTATTTTAAATATGGTCATTTTAATGGTCCTTTCAACTGAGCTTTTAGAAAGCTTCTGGAACTACAGTTGGAACTATACCACGCCCTGCAGTTAGCTCAGCATTTTGCTAGCATACTTAGCAAGCCATGGTGTTTCGAGCCATCACATGAGCACAGTAAAATGTTCTCTAGTATTAGTGTATAAGCTTCTTTAGGGATTATGTCGACTCACAGGCTGCTATGGAAACAGCAAGAAGGCTTCTTATGTTGTGGATCTCAAAGAAAACTTGGTTTGGAGAATTGAACTAAGTCTTGACTCAACTTTTGTCATGATACTTCAAATGATAGCAAAAGAAACTTGAGATATGCCATTAGTCAACTTTCAATGAGACACCAAAGTAGACCCAAAAAGTTCACAGGGTTGAGTGACAAGGGAACTGGAAATGGGAAGGTCTGTTTAACTTTGGACAAAGTCAACTCCAAAGCCAGGCCACTCTCAGCTTCCCACCTCCCATTGTGGCCACCTCAGGGTTTCTCTGTTACCCCAACGCTAGGCTCTGTACCTAGGGAAAAGTGCCACATGGTCTGATCCCCTGGTCCTTTATGGCTGTTGAGTGATGTGAACTCGAATACTAGGCTACCTGCATTGCCAGCTCTGAGGCAACGGGTTAACCTTAGTCTGCTTCTTCATCTGTAATAAGCTCTCTAACAGGATTGTTGGAGGATTTCTGAGGCTGAATGAGATCATGGTTTCAGTCAGTGAGCAGCGCTAGGCAGCTTTCTGTGTGCGATACATTCCTATTTTCACAAGACTTTTAATCTACAAATAAGTGCTATTGTAAAAAAAAAACAAATCAGAGGAAAGACATAGAGTAATAAGAGTCGTGGAAAGACATAGAGCCATGGGGTAGGGATTCTTCTTTTATTAGCATAGCCTTGGGAAACCTTGTACAGAGCAAAAATTAAAGCTGACACTTGCAGAAAGTGACAAATTCCCTGAGGACAGTTGGAACATCAGCTTAGAGATGGCATTTGACACTTGAAACTGTAGGAGATAATGAAAGGAATCCATGGAAAGAGAGACAAACTGGTAGCCAAGGACTCCTGCCTCACATCCCATATTATTTGGTGATTGAAAAATGAGACGTTATCACAAAGGAGTCCAAGGTACAGTGGTCAAGAGAAAAGAAGATGAAAGCGAGCAGGGAATAGCTTCCAGCTGAGCACAGCCCTGCCTGGTCTGACCCAGGAAGACGAGGACGGTGAAATTAGCATGACTTCAGCAGAATGGTCAGGTCACCGATAACCCTGATAGAAGCCCTTCCGAGAGACCAATGTGTATTTGGGGGTGGAGCTGTACACACTTCGGGAGTCAATTTAGGAGAAAAAAATGAAAGAAGAAAGAAGAAATGAAGTAGTTGTTTTACAGTAGGGTCCAAGATCACTATAATTCCCGAGCTAAATATTATTTTTTCTTCCCATTTTACAGATGAAAAGACTGAGCCAGGAACAGTGAGAATAAATATTTCATAAATATACAGCTTGCAAGTAGCAGAATAGGGAAGCTGAGCCAGGAGGTTTGGTGCCACATCCTTCGTGTTCCACTGCCTGGCAAGCGATCCTCACACCTGCGTATGTAACCCGAGTATGTTACCACTTAGAGAGCTAAAGACAGCTCTTTAACATAGTTTTCTCTTGCCATATTCAGCTATTTGGAAACAGAATGAGCAGAGGCTTAGAGGTAAATAGTTTTCAAAGTGATAAATAAATTCAGCCAAGAGCACAGCATAACATGGTGATCCAGGACAGGGATGGGTATGAAAGCCGGGGATTCAACAAGTCGCTGCAGAGTCTATGATGGAACTGGAACAGAAATGGGGTTTGGAGACTGTGACTCTATGGAAAAGAAGGCAGAATCCATGAGCTGGGCTGGTGTTTAAGGTGAGGTTGAGGAATCACCGGACTCAGGACTGGGGGAGAGAGCTCCAAAGAGACGACACAGCAGTAAAAATAAAGCTTAGAAGGTGATATTTTGTGACCATTCACAGGGGCCTGACCTGTGATCAGTTAAGAGAGAGTGAGGAAGATCTTTGGAAAGGAGGCCAAGAATGTAAAATCCCAGAGGTGGTGTCCTCAACATCAACGAGAAACTCATCAGATATTATAACGGGGTTGGAGGTGTTTATGAGAAACAAAGGGTCTGAAGTTGAAGTCTTTGAAGATTGAAGCTGAGTGGCGCCTTCAGAGGAAGCCAGTGAAGAAGAAAAGCGACTTCCAAGGAGAGGGAGAGTTTAAGGTGGGAGGAGTTAAAAGCAAAGGGGAGTAGAAGCTGGACCAAACAAGAACCCTTTCCTTTCCTCCAGCCCTGTGGTGTGCAGGCATGGGGAAGGCCCTTGCTGAAGGAACCGTGGAGACAGCACACTCGCAGGATGAGCAATGACTAAGCAAGGCTGAGGAGCTGTGGAGTTTGATGATAATGGATGCTAGCCAGGAAGGAAGGATTTGATGCAGGATACCAATGGTGCTGATACCAGGGATCTAAGACTATGCACTGATGATTCAAGTGGCTGGAAATGACTGGATTTCTTATGGTGTCAAGGGACACATGCCGAGAGGACATGTTTGATTTTGTTCTGAGACTCGTGGGGGACACAGGGCACAGGGTTTCCTGGCTCTTGCTTCAAAACCAGTAGGCAGGGGACACTAGAACAATTTGTATGGAAATACTCTCCCTATCTCGGCCTGCGATGGGCCCATACACAAACTGATAGCCAGTAATGTATCTATGTGATACACAGATATCAAATTCTGTTTGCTGATCAAATGCTTTCCTTCCAGCAGCAGAGGGAAGACGGGGAATAATCAATCCAGATAATACTAGGACTGGACAGGGCACTGAACAGGCAGACAGGCAGGAGGGTAGTAACCACATGGAAAGGAGAGTTATAAACAGGCAGTGGGTCTGTGTCCGACTTTGCTTATACCAGATCCACATCAATGGAACATGAGAGTTCTTCTGTTTTAGCATGGCTAAGACTTTCGAAGAGGTGAGTGAATAGCTGTTGAGCAAGTCTGGGAGGGAGATATTGGCAGTGGGGAAAAAAATAGATCTGAGGTGGTTGGTGATTGGGGTAGTTCGGGGTGCGGGGAGGGGGGGCACAGGGCGGAAGGTGGGTATGAGTTCAAGAAAGCCAAGGACAGTAAGACATGCGAGTTCCCTGGATGGCAGGCTCACACCCTGCTGGGGCAGCAGCAGGGCAATGCCCTGCAGGCTTCACTTCACCTCCCTCCGAGGAGCTTCCATTTGCATCTTTGCATTGACAGCCGCAGATGACAGAACCCAAGCCTGGTGTGAGGCTAGGATGAGAAAAGTCGTTCACACTGTGCCAGGAACATTATGTGATCCAAGCAGGGGGATTGAAAATGAAAGGCAGGCAGGAAGCTGTGGCCTGGAGTGTCGCGAGGAGAAAGAAACAAAGGACATTTATTGGAGTGATCTTAATTGAATCCTTCTTCTTTGAGACATGATGTCTGAGCTTAGAAACCCCCGCTCTCTCCTGGGTCCTTCCTGGCACCCTACGAGCTTCCTACGAGCTTTCACGGGATCTCCACTGCCACGTTAGTGGATGCATTTGTAAAGGGTTGCTTCACGGAATAAAAAGGCGTTTTTCAAGAGAAACACATGAAAACTTTCAGATGGTAGCACAAAGACCAGAGCTAAACAAATAAAATCCTCCCGTAAAGAGGGCTGTTCATGTGGGCTGTTTTTCACAAGCCCCGGCAAAGACCGCGTCTGGTCCCCGTGTTGCTGTGGGGTAATGTACTTGGTTCCAGGGTTGTTAGTGTTGCAATGTCTCAGGACCCAGAATTCCAGAGTTTATGGTCATTTCTCCTACTGCAGCACAAGCCTGGTTTCCACTAACGACAACCGACTCTTATGTTTAATTTTGAACTTCTCTCTCATATCTCATTGTGTTTCTACTTCTGTCACACAAACAGAATTTCCATGCCAGCAACAGCAAAGGAGCATGCGTCGACCAAGAGGTAATCTCTCAGCTGTTCCCGCCAACATGAAGGCTGCCTGCTACTATTGCTTCCCTGCCAGGCAGGACTCTGATTTCTCTGAAACCATAAGCTCTTACTTCCATAGTTGCCTGAGTCACGGTGTTTCATCATAGCAAAAGGAAGGTTGTTAATACAGTCACTTTATCCGTTCATAAATTTTAACAGTGGCTGAGGGGCCGGTGCCCCTCAAACACAATTCCAAATACTGCAGTCTTCAAATCTCAAAATCGCTAATGTCTACATGCCTGAAAGTTCAAAACTGAAATACAATTCTAGAAAAATAATTTGTCAGGCTCTCACATACATAATTTTATTCATTTTATAAGCATAACATGCAGACGTTTCTTCTCACTGAGGACTAACTGTGGAATTCTCCTTATACCCCGTTGCTGGTAATATCTCAGCCGAGGTTTGGGTGCAGTCCGTTTGATGTCACATGCTTCTTTTCTCTTTACCAGACTACATCTAACCCAGTATTTCAAATGCACATTGAGTTTTCAAAGGCCACTAAGTCAGGCATGGTGGTATATCCCCATACTCCCAGCCCTTGGGAGGCTAACCCGGAAGGATCTGGAGTTCAAAGCCATAGAAGCAGCCATGATCAGCGCAACAGGAACCTGTTCAATCAATAGACACAATTTTCAAAATAGTGGTTTGGCCATACTAGTTTTTAGGCCTTAGCTTTTGCAAAGAGGTAGTAATAATAGCCCAACCATTATCAGCTGAGGCAGAGAAACACATCAGCACTAAAGAGATACCTACTCAAAATGGATGGATTGTAGACAGCTAC